TCTTATGAACTTTTTTCTCTTACATTTTTGCCATTAAAGGTTTTTATTTTTGGCATCATCGGGATTTTTTTCCTGTAATATTTTTTTAAAAAAAAAAAACTTATGATAATTCAAAAAGGTGAAACTTTTGCCGGAGTTCGATTTTTTGGACGGGAAATTATCCTTAATTTAAAAACATGAATTATTACCACCCCAAATACGAAAAAAAGGCCATTTCAATGTTTTATCGACTTTCCTCCCCAACCAGTTTTTAGAGAAATTTTAAAAATTGAAGGTTTAAAGCAGGAAACAGCTTTTTTTGTGATATTTATATAAATTTTCACAAAAGGGGTCCCCTTTTTATTTTTTGCCCCCGGAAAACTAAAAAAAATCCCCAAAAAACTTTAAGGATCGGGAAATCAATTGTTAATTATTACTTTATTATTTTCTAAATATAACATTTCTGAAAATATGTTTGTTGCTATGAATTCGTTATAAAACTTTTAATTTTTTAAATTATTAATAAAACGAACATGAGTTCTAAAAAAAATTTTTTAGCTTTTTGAAATCAATAGATGTTTTTGGTATTATTTTGAAAAAATAATTATCAGTAAAAACTATAAAAACGTCTTATTTATATAAATTTAATATAAAAACTATTTAATATTTTTGGGACATTTTTTAAAATTTTTAAAATAAATTTAAAGTGACATGCTTTTCTCTCATTAAAAATGTTTGCAATTTAAAAATATTGAAATATTTTTAAAAAACATATATTCTTTATTTAAAAATAGCCCTTTTTGTTTTTCTTTTTTAAGAAAAAAATTATCATTAAAATTACCCCCTTTTTTAATATCAAAATTAATATCCTTTTTTTTTCTTGTTAGAAAAATTTTTTTAATTAGAATTTTTTATAAATAAAATTAGAACCTGTTTTTGGGCCCTTTTTTTTGGCGATTTTTTTTTTGTGCGACCTTTTTAAAAAGAATTTGCATTTTTTTCCCATGAATTTGTTTTTGTTACATGCAAAATTCATAAAATTTTCGAATATTTTTTTTTTTTTTTTTTGCGGTTCCTATCAACCCTTTAAAAAAAAAGGTTCAACTGTAAGTTTTACCATGTGCCACATTCATGCTTTGGGGGATACCGATTTATTTTCTATTGATTAAAAACATACATTTCCTCTTTTTTTTTTAAATTTCCGGAACCCAAAAAAATTTAATTTTTTTTTTTTAAAAAAAAAATTTTTTAAAAAAAAAAAATTTTAAAAATATAACAAAATTTTTTAAAAAATTAAAAAAAAAAAATTTTTTTCCAAAAAAATAAAAATTAAATTTTAAAAATACAAATTTTTTTTAATTTTTAAAAAAAATTCCTTTTTAAAAACCCCCCTTAAAACCCCCCCAAAAAAAAAAAGGGGGGCCCCGGGTAAAACCCCCTTTTTTAAAAAAAAAAAAATTTTTTTTTTTTTAAAAAATTTTAAAAAATTTTTTTTCCCCCTTTTAAAGGGGAAAATTTTTTTTTTTTAAAGAAAAAAAAAAAAAAAAAAAAATAACCAAAAAATTTTTTTTTTTAAAAAAAAACCCCCCCTTTTTTCCCCCTTATTTTGGGGAGGGGAAAAAAAAAAAAAAAAAGGGTTTTTTTTTAAAATTTTTTTGGTTTTTTTAAAAAACCCCCAAAAAAAAAAATAAAAAAAATTTTTGGGTTTTTAAAAAAAAAAATAAAAAAAAACCCCCCACCCAAAAACCCCCTTTTTTTTTAAAAATTCCCCTTTTTTAAAAATTAAAAAAATTTTTTTTTTAAAAAAATTTGGGAAAAAAGGGGGGGAAAAAATTTTTTTTTTTTTTAAAAATTTAAAAATTTTTTTGGTTTTTTTTTTTTTTTTTAAAAAAAACCCCCCTTTAAATTTTTTTTAAAAAAAAAGGTTTTTTGGGGGGGAAAAAAAAATTTTTTTTTTTTTTTTTTTGGGTTTTAAAATTTAAAAAATTTTTAAAAAAGGGAAAAAAAAAAAACCCCCCCCAAAAAACCCCCCCTTTTTTTTTAAAAAAAAAAAAATTCTTTTGGCCCCCCCGGGGGGGGTTTTTTTTTTAAAAAAAAAAGGGGTTTTTTTTTCCTTTGTTTTAAAACCCAAAAAAAAAAAAATTTTTTTCCCCTTAAAAAAAAAAATTTTTTAAAAAAAAACAAAAAAAATTTTTTTTTTTTCCAAAAAACCCCCCAAAAAAAAAAATTTTTTTTTTTTTAAAAGTTAAAAATTTTTTTTTTCCCCCTATTTTTTTAAAAAAAAATTTTTTTTTTCCCCAAAACCCAAAAAATTTTTTTTAAAAAAATTTAAAAAACCTTTTTTTCCGGTTTTAAACCCCAAAATTTGGGGGTTTAAAATTTTTTCCCCCAAAAATTTTTAAAAAAAAAAAACCCTTTTTTAATTTTTAAATTTTAAATTGGGGTTTTTTAAAAAAAAAGGGGGGTTTTAATTTAAAAATTTTTTAAAAATTTTTTTTAAAAAACCCCCCCAAAAAACCCTTTTTGGGTTTTTTAAAAAAAAAAAATAAAGGGGGGGTTAAATTTTTTTTTGGTTTTTTTTGGGGAAATTTTTTTAAATTTTTTTCTTTGGAAGGGGACTGGTTTTTTTAAGGAAAAAGGGGCCTTTTCCCCCCCTTTTTTTTTTTTTTTTTTGGGGGGGGAAAAAAAACCCCAAAAAAAGAAAAAAATTAAAACAAAAAATTAAATTTTGGGGGTTTTTGGGGGGGGGGTTTTGGGGGGGGAAAAAATTTAAAAAATTTGGGGAAAAACCCCCAAAAACCCCCTTTTTTGAAAAGGGAAGGGAAAAAAAAAAAGGGAAAAAATTAAAAAAAAAAAAAAAAAATTTTTAAAAAAAAAAGGAAAAAGGGGGAAAAAATGGGTTTTTTAATTTAAAAAATTTTTGGGGGTTTTTTTTTTTTAAAATTTTTTTTCAAATTTTTTTCCTTTTTAAAAATTTTTTTTTTTTTTTTTTTAAAATTTTTTAAAAAATTTTTAAAAAGGGGGTTTTTTTTTTTTTTTCCCCCCCAAAAAAAAACCGGGGGGGGGGAAAAGGGGCCCCCCCAAAAAAAAACCCCAAAAAAAAACCCCCCCCTTTCCTTTTCTAATTTTTTTAAAAAAAAAATTTTTTAAAAAACCCCCAACCCCCCTTTTTTTAAGTTTCTTTCTCATCGGCGGATGTTTTTGATGTCGGAAATCGATATTCCATTCTGTTCGAATGCGTCACTGTCACCGTGATGATTTAAATTCCGTTAACCTTGACGGGTTTTTGCTTTTTCTTTAAAGTCCTCTTGGGGTTTTTTGGGGCCGAATGGCAATTTTTTCCCCAACCAACCGAGAAAAAAAACGTGATTATGAAAATTAGGAATCATTTTTTAAAAGAAGTTTAGCGTGCGTGGGTGGCTATGTGAGGTCTAGGCAAAGGGTGGAAGTGATTAAGACAGCGTTTCGAAGAAAAAAATTTCCGAAATCAACCTACCCGTACCTGTATATCAAGCAAAAGGTGGATACGAAACCACAAGGATTAAGGGAAAAAAAGCCATGTCAGTAGGACAAAAAAAGTATCTGTTTCCCCAAGGATATAGCGGTAAGCGACTTTGTTAGCCTAAGGAAAGTGCGTGTTTGTGAATTGGAATTAATCTGTAAAGTTAGATATATGGTCGATTTCGTGATTTTTTGGGTAAACAAGTTGTGTCTTCTCATTTCAGATCTGCTTACTTTGATTATTATTATTGTTGTGTATTTGTTGGTAAGATCTTAATAAACAAATTTTAATTTGAACGATTTGTGTGATTCTTCGTCCTTCCCTACAGAAACAGGTCGCGTACATAATGGAGAACAGGGGCACCCACGGGCAGGTACCTCACAAACCAAAATACGCACTCTTCTTTTTCACTTTCATCTTTACAAGGTCAGTGACTTTTCGCTGCTATTGCCGAATAATGCGCACATGTGCGGCCGATTGGATTAGACCCGAAAAATCTTGTAGGAGTTTCCAATCCACGGATGAACAGTTTATTACATTCTAGAGCCTAATTCCGTAATAAGTCATAACTTTTGGATACTTTAAGCCCAGACAACCTGTATTATATCTAATTCCTACACATTTTTAATAAAATCTTATTAGATAAAAATGTGTCTTAATGTTTTATAACAAGCAATGAAATATACAGAGTGCCCATAAACTCAATTTCAAGCGGGTATAACTTGAACTGAGAGAGGGAGTCGCACCAGAGTTTGGGGCATAATAAAAAGTACCATATTACTTGGATAAGTGATGACCAAAATAATTTTAAAAATGGGGAAAATTGACACCATCCATCAAATTATTTTGTACTGTGCCTACAGTGTATTTACAGTTTTACTCAGTTTTTTCACTAACGCGATCTTATATAGACATGCTATTAATCACATTCACGAGAAGGACAAAACACTTTGCAGGCTTGAAAATGATGTCACTTAATTTTGACTCTCCATACAAAGAAAAAATAATTGATACTACCCTATGTAAATTTTTCAAATATAACCCATTTAGTTGACATTCTAAAATGATACAACACTTGTTTCAATGCATAAGAATCATGGAGAATTTTTTCTCCAAATCCTACTATTAGTTCACTCTCTCCCTATATATATATATATATATATATATATATATATATATATAAAAAACAAGAAAATCAAAACAAAAAAAGTCCAACATCATATATAGAAAAGAAAATAGAAAATAGCAATTAAAATTGCTGTCTATTTTGTCACTTAATTTGAACAAGATATATATATATATACATATATTATGTTCAAGTTTTCAATCTTAAATAAAATACTTTCTATTCATCTATTCAAGTTCAAATTCATTTTATTTAAACTTGCAATGGAAGACACTTTTTTTCAAAGAGTAATTCATTAATTCATTATTAAATTGAAAAATGAATATAAACAGAGTAACAAACAAAAAATAATAGTCCACAACAGCTTATATAGGAAAAAAATTCGTTCGTTGTGTCCCTGTTGGGCAATGGGTAGCGCGTTAGACTTCTTATCCAAAGGTCGTGGGTTCGAATCCCACCTGGGATGGGCTAATTTCTGAGAATGTGATTTCTCTTTTACTCTACTATTTTATAAGAGTAATTAACTTTAATTAATGAATAAATCGTAACAAAAAAAATAATAACTCAACAACATATATAGAAAGGAAAAAAAGGGAAAAAATGCAATTAAAATTGCTTTCTATTTTGTCCCTTTATATTGTGATTCTGTTACATTTATATACGTATTTATATTAATTGTAATTATTTAATAAAAAGTAACTAAAATAAAAAAAAAATTTGTAACCCTAAGTAGGAATTGAATAAAATTTTTTTTTATATTACTTGCTTTATGAACATCTTCAAATTAAAAACACTTTTGTTGATACCCACCATCATATCATTACATAATGTGACCGCAAATTCCACAACTCTTCACAGTGATTTTTTTCACTAACGTGATCTTTCATAGTCGTGATATTAATCACAGTCACAAGTGTGGAAGAAAACCTTTTACAGGGGTTTAGTTAAAATTAACGTAGTTTGAGCCGGCTACAGAAAATGATATCACTGAACTTGGACACTATATAAAAGGGAAAATTTTGCATGCTACTATACGCAAGTTAATTCAAAATACCACCCATTTAGAAATAATTAAAAAATGGTACCACGCTTGGTACAATTCTATCCATAACAATTATTGCCACTTTTTTTTTTCTTTTACAAAATGACTTTATTTCAAAAACTCAATCTTAAGTGTATGTGTAACTAAAATCAAACAATAACGGAAAATATTTTTGTAATACTTTAATGAATTAATCGTTCGAAATCCTTGGCTTTTACACACGAATGCAAGCTCTGCATCTTTTTAAAGTGATTGCTTGACGAGTCATGAATAAATAAACTCAGTGTCGCAACAACCCATGAGGCCCTAGGACTATTGTTCCCATCTCAGTATATGTGATCATTGGGCGCTGAGGGGCATGAGCAGATATCCCGATCAGGTGGTCAGTCTGAAGCGAAGCCCCCATTAATCACCAAGCAAGCTTGGTACTCATTTATCGACCCAATAAGGGAATGAAAGGCTGAATCGACCTTTCGCAGCCCGAAGATAGTGCCCCGGACCTGCGGTGAGGAAGCGCGATACGCTACCACTCGGCCAATGGGCCTTCCATGAATAATTAATTAAACCTATTTCTTCCCCTGATTAGCAATCCTTGGGCATAATTGCGGTACATTTCCAATTCGTAAGAAAAAAAGAAGGTGAGCATTTGATTCTTTAAAGCAGAGGCTCCCCAACTTTTTTCTCATTGCCATTTTTATGTGTGTGTAGACCGTACTTACTTAATATTAAATTTTTGCAAATTTATCAACTTAAATGTTTTTTGACAGCTGGTATAGCACTACTTGAAAAGTTTTATGATTCTAACTGTAGTTAAGTAGTAGTGTTTAAAACTTAAAGTACATGAATTGACATGTAACATGTGAATTGATTAAATTAAAATTTAATTAATATATGAAATAATCGTTACATAAAATAACTGAGAAACAAACAAATGTTTTTAATGGGTAGGATGAATCTGTTGCTTCAATAATAAATTTTCAACATTTGGCTTTAATCTTAAAAGTTTAAGCCTAAATTTCCGCGGTTTTAGTAGTATCCAATCTTTCTTTCTTTTTCTTTTCTTTTTTTTTTTATTTTGGAGATTGGGGACAAGCGCGCTGAAACTCCTCCTCTCTGAGTGAGTGAATATTAACTTCGCACTGTTCAGCTACACGAGGGCTTTTGGCTATGGACCACGCAATTTTGAACCATGTTCAAGTGACGTGGACGACACCTGAGCTGGCACCCCTCTCCTCTACCACACCACACCAACGGGAACGTTTCCCTACCGGCGGGTCTTTAGTGTATGGACTCGAACTCCATGACATGCCTGCCATGATCTGATACCTTGACCACTGGGCTACCGTAGCCCGCCCTCCTCTCTGCGAAAAGCAATTAAAAACTTTCATGAGATTTTCTATAATTAGGGATAAATAAGAGGTATATCTTTTTAAAGCCGAAATTGCTGACATTCGTTTCTAAACATTGCTTTAAGATCTCCGTTACTGCCTATTCTGATTAGTTAATATTATACTATGACTTTTTTCAATGTGACAACATGAATTCATTACATACTGTGATATTAACATAGTCAAAGCATTCTCAAGCCTAGTTTCAAAACCTGAATAAAGGGCATTTAAATGTTGAACATTGGTTTTCTGGCAGATTGCCTGTGAAAAAATGAAAAAATGTTAAAATTCGCGACGTCAGTTTATATTCCTTTAGCTTAATTCTGACACAGAAACACTGAAATGATGGTCGTTTTTTTATAACATTTATGTTGTTGCCTTTTAACGGCAAATTAACCCTAGTAAAATTAGTAAATAAAGCTTTAAATAGATAAATCTGGTTTACACTTGATTAAATTTTCTTTTAAAATTAAAGTCACGATCTGATTTAGGCTATCGTAGACCCCCATTTATACCTCATGGACCCCCAAATTTTGTTTTCACTGACGTGGACCCCTTCAAGTCGTAATAGACCCCTTGGGGTCCATATAGACCACTTTAGAAATCACTGCTTTAAAGTATTACAAAACTGTTTTCCGCTTTAAAAAAAAAATTGCCTCTAATTTCAGTTACACACTTAAAATTGAATTTCTAAGAATGAAATAATTTTTTGTTAAAAAAGATTGGCTATATTTGTAATGGATAAAAAGTAACACAAGTGTTGTAACATTTTGTAACTTTAATTAAATGGGTCATCCTTTGAAATCCTTTGAATAGGATAGTGTGTGTAATATTTTTTTTCTCTTTATGGAGAGTCAAAGTTAAGTGACATCATTTTCTCAAATCGAGTCAAACTATGCTAATTTTAATAAACCGGAAAATTGTTCTGCTCTATTGTGACTGGGATTAATAGAACGGGTATGGAAAAGATCCCGTTAGTGAAAAAATCACTGTATAATTTGTACCTAATGATATAACGGTGAATGTGAAAGAGGTGATTTTAAAATGAAGGTGTTTTACAAATGAAAAAAATTGTCGTGATTGTTATGAAGAGTAAAGAACAAATGCTGTACCAATAATCTTTTTTATCTTAAGTAATTGGGACATTTTTGTTTTCCCCCAAAAATTTTTTTCTTTTTATGAAACGTCAAAGTTAGGTGACATTATTTGCTCAAACCCTGACTCAAACTACATTATTTTTGACTAAACCAGCAACATTTTTGTCCCACTTGTGACTGTGATTAATATCTGTGTGTAATGTAAAATCACATGAGTGAACACCTCACCGTACAATTGTGAAATTTGTAGTCACAATATATAATAGTGTGATAGAAAGTGTCAATTAGGAGCATTTTCAAAAATACACTGGTGTTCAAAATTAAAAGAATTTACAAATTTCATCGAATTTCATGAAAAATTTGAACGAAACGTAAAAATACTACTTCGAAACACACATGCATATCTTGTGTGTTTAATACATAAACGTATTTTTTTGGGGGCAGATCTATGATTAAAAAATTTTTATAAGCGCGTGTGCCAAAATCCGCATTTCATTCGCCAGCACACCTCGCTAAATTTCTAGGTGTTTTTTTAGCAGCAATGGGTTATATTAAAATTCATACAATAAAAATAAGTTATCACCAATGTTTAGATAATGGAATAAGGTTTGGGATTGTGGACCTCATCCTCATAGAGCATGCTTGAGACGTTCTGGGACGGCAATTACTACTCTCCTCCGAGAATCATCGAAGGTCTGAAAAACAGAGTTACTGAACGCGAGTGGGATTAATTGCCACAGGAACTCATAAAATCCCTTATCCCCGGTATAAAACCATGGTGTGAGACCTGCATATGTCTAAGAGGGTAACATACTCCCTATTATAACTATTTTTTATTCTATTTTGAAACTGCTCGTTCAGATGTTCCAACTGCACAATGAGTGTTTTCAACTGCTCGTTCAAACGTTCCAACTGCAATGAGTGTTTTCAACTACTCGTTCTTATGTTCCAACTGCAATGAGTGTTATGCACAATCATGGGGTGTATTATAGTTTTAAAGTTATTTTTGCATAATGTCAAAACCCCCGACAAACCAAATTTCATTGAAAATGACCTGTAGTTTTAGAGAAAATTTACCAAATCTGAGAATTTCTTAATTTTTCCCGGAAAATTGTCATCACTTCACAAAAAGATAGGAATTTTTTTTCTCCAGAACTGATATAACCGATCCTTTCACCCCTCACCTGTGTGAGGTTGACTTTCGGGGCAACCAATATGAGACTTTATAGCAATTTAGAATATTTAAAATTATTTATCTTTATGTTTTGGCTACTTTAATTCATCTGGTACAAAAGAATCTCTTACTTTCTCATAGTCCACAAATCTGTTCATTCTAGGACAAGTTCCGATAATCAACTGACATGTTATACAGGGAATACAGGCGATTAACAGGAAAAAGATGTGCCTCAACATGTTTCAAGCGTGATCCTGCAAAATAAAAGAAAGAAAAAAAAACAACATATTGAAAAACTTTTAAAACCGCGACATAAATTATTATAATTTATTTTTATTAAATCATCATTTTCCAACATATTTTCTATGGTTATTTGATATACAGGGTCTTTAGATGAAATAAATAGATCTCGGAAAGCAATAGAGAAATAACTTACCAAATAGCCCAGTGCTAAGACTAACACAATGACTAAGCCACAACAGTTAAGATACCAGAAACGAACGTTGCCGGGGTTAAAAAATATTGTTCGATATTTTTTTTTTTCGTTTATCGAGAAAATAAAAATTTGTTATTTTCTTCGTGTATTTTTCTGTAAATACAGCACAAAAAAAGCAAATAATGAAAACATACAAACGAAATTTTCGAGGTGGAAAAAAACATAAAAAAGCAAAAAGCGTAAATTGATACCAACGTAGGTTCAAAAATGTTTAACGGTAATGTTTAAAAAGGTATTGAGCTTAAAATGAGTTTTATAAGAATAAGTGT